TTTTCCACTTGATGAGCCCTGAGAATTCCTATTTTAGTTAGACTGTGAGCCAAGCCATGGAGCTCATTTATAGCTCTTAATGTGTGTTTCACTGTAATTTTCATAGTCAGTGGCCTTTTGCAATCCCAGTTTATGTAACATACAGCTGAGCAGAGCCGTTGGACACTCTGGGATTCTGTTCACATGTGTCGAATTCGGAATGTACATGATGAAACTCTGGTTACATTTCTCCTCTGCTTTGTTCTGCGTGAGAAAACAAAAATGCGTGGCGGTATGTAATATCTGTAACTTTCACCCTGTGGTCTTCCAACTCCCCTGGGGAGGGGAGTGAGGAGACTTGGGGGCAGAATTAAGGGGATGGACAGGAAGGTGCCAGAAGGTGGCAGCAGATCACTGCATGCTGTGCTAGGAGAGCTCCTCCTTGCCCAGCCTAGGACTGTGGGGGCTGTTGGTGGACAAGAGGCTGGACGTGCCCTGGCTACGCGCACTGGGACCCAGAGACCATCCCTGCCCCCAACCCCCTTCCTCCCCACCCCCACCACCCCGAATCCTTAGCTGATTCCACAGTGTGGGCAGCAGGGAAGTGGGTGGGGTATTCTGCCCTGCTCAGGTGAAGACCGCATCTGCAGGGCTTCCTCCAGCTCTGGGGACTAACATCAGAAGGAAGTGGAGCTGCTGGAGCAAGTCCAGAGGATACCAAGGAGATGCTTCAAGGGCTGTAGCCCCTCAGCTCTGGATCCAGGCTGGGAGAGCTGAGGCTGTTCAGCCTGCAGAGAAAAAGGGTTCTTAGGGGTATTTTAGAGACCCTTCCAGCACCTCAAGGGGCTCCAAGAGAGCTGCAGGGAGGGACTTTGGAGAAGGAGTGACAGGACAAGGGGGAGTGGCTTCCCACTGCCAGAGGGCAGGGTTATATGGGATTTTGGGAAGGAATTCTTGGCTGTGAGGGTGCTGAGGCCCTGGTACAGGTTGGCCCAGAGCAGCTGTGGCTGACCCATCCCTGGAATTGTCCAAGGCCAGATTTGATTTGGCCTGGAGCAACCTGGTCTAGTGGAAGGTCCTTGCCCATGGCAGGGGAATGGGACTGGATGAGCTTGAAGGTCCCCTCCAGCCCAAACCGTTATAGAATTCTATGATTTTACCCTTCTGTTCACCAGTAGAGCACATCTGGACTTCAGCTGTTTTAAAGAAAAACTGCCTCCAAAAACAAGGGAATATGATTCCATTTTCTCATCTGTTCACTTGAAATACATTTTTGTGCAAAAGGCTGTAATGAAGGTGTAAGCCCTATTAATGAATTACATTGTTTAATAGGAAAGAGGCTTTCTTTTAATAAACTGCTAATTTGAAAAATTGCTTTTATAGTGAACAGTAAAGGTTTTTTTAAAAGGTTTGAAAGAAAATCATCCTCTGCTTATTGAGTCACCTATCAGCACTGCAGCTCCTTGGTAGCCTGTAGCTGCCACTATCTTCAGAAGATGTTGGCATGGAAACTTAAGGCAGAGAATGCCATATCTCTGGAAAGTTGTCACCTGTGTCTGTGTAAAATGTTCACTAAAACAAAACTGAAAATTTCCATGTGGTCTTCAGAGTCATTTGATGGGGATGTTGCCAATACTCTCTGTATGCCAGCAGCATTAGCCGGACGTATTTGGGACATTATTACCAGACAGCAACATAAAAACTGCACAGACTGGATTCTTAGAATTTATTTGTGTCTTTCAGTGTTCAACTTTGCTGTTTTACCAACACTGCTGATCTAGAAATGCAATTCTGTGTCAAGTTCTAGGGGCACCATGGCAGTGCTCCTCTTATTTATAACTGCAGCGTGTATTCTTGAGCATTTCCATGACAGGTTGGCTATAGAAGTAGCTGGGTTTTGTCACGCTTATGTACAGCAGCAGAGGCAGCTTCACCAGTGCATATTGTAAGAGCCACTACCCCAATTTTCATGATACCCATCACTTCTATTTGCCTCCATAATTCATGTAAAAATGCTGTGTTTAACTGCAGTGGCACTTGAGTGTTTTTTTTTTCTGCAGTCACTTAATTCTCCTTCCCCAGCTCCAGTGTGCATATCCTCATCTAAAAATCCTAAATTCGTTTTGGTGAATTTAAGTTACAGCTGGAAACAAGAGGCTTGTGGCTATTCACCTAGCAGAATCTGTGTGGTACAAAGTATACTATTCCTCTTGACTGGTCCTTGTGTTGCCTGTGTCGTCCTTTAGAGGCACCTCAGCAGCACAGCAGACACCAACCCAACATTTGGCAGGTCATTTTGGAGAGGCTGATACATGAGGTTTTCCTAAAAGCCTGTGTGAAACAATGTAAAAGAAGCATGTTCAGCTCCTGGAGGGAAAATAATCCAGTTTTTGCCAGAGGTTGCCTAAAGCGTCCTTACTATTACTTTATTTTTCTGCTTTCTAATGCACACAATTCTCTGTGTGAATTACTGAATTTTTTTCTCTGCCCACTATTTTGTTTGACTTTCCTCTGTTTTCCCCAGGCAATCCTGTCAATCTTCAATTCAGTCATCTTGGTCTCAGAGTATAGTCCAGTCTCTAAGCTTTTAATATTAAGATTTACCCCTCAGTATCGGCATATTATCCTTAGTAGCAGCCTTGCCTTTATTTTGTCTTTAGACTGAGTTGATATTTATTGAACAGGGTTTATAAGCTTTTAAAATTTTAAACATGAAGAGGGAAAGATCAGTGAGTAAATAAAGTCTGTAATTCTGCATCCAGAACAGATTTTCACGTATCGCCTGGTTTTTCCAACGTGCAGTGCTCTGAAAGTAGCTGATGAACAGATTCATCTGCCTATGTGAAGTATGAGTGTGTTGATCCACCTAAGCGAAATATGCTGGGATAGTTAAGGTGCAGTTCTGCCTCTGACAAGGAGATGGATGGACCATTTTAGCAGCAAAACATTTTTTTAATGTTGAGAAACTGTCTTGTCTACAAAGAATAAAGTAATTTGTCAAAACAAATGGAAAATACTTTTCTTGCCGGAGATTACCCCATTTGTTTCCATTTTCCATGACACATTTTGCTCATTATGCTTCAGGAAGCAAATCCAAAGTTTTATAAGGAACAGTTCGTGCTGGTAAAATAGAGGTGGGGGCTGTAGAGTTGCTGTGCATTCCTGGGAAGGGATTGGGTGGAGAACTGCATTAGTGGGAATTGCCGTTGCTCATGTAACTGCTTGACAGCCACGAGGACAGTGCTGAGGTGTTGTCCCAACATTACAAAATGCATTTTGTGTGTTTGGAAGTAACTTTTAAATAAATGACAATGTTAAAGCAGGTGAAAAGTTGACTTCATTTGGAGCTTAGGGCTTGTGTTCAGCACAGGATGTGCTGCCTGTTCAGAGGTTGTGCTGGGCTTCTTCTGTTCTTGCTTGAGGGTTTAAGGTGGTTTTGTGTGTGCTTTGGTTAATCTGTGGACATCACTGACCTCTCTGAAGGGCCAATAGTGCCAGTAATTGTGGTTCCACTTTGAAATACCCATTGTGTTTTGGTTTTATTTGGAGGGAAGAGGGCGCAGATTAAAACTCTTTTTGCTCTTGGTGAATGGTGATTGCTGAGGTCATGTTTGAGGGTCAAGAACAAAGTGTGAAATGCACTCTCCTTGGCTAAAAGGGAAAGGAAAGTATAAAGCTGCCACAACCAAAACAGGCAGCCAGCTTTGCGTAAGTGACACATGGTTGGGAAAACTTGCTTAGCTGTGGGAAGGCTTCGATGGTTTGGGATTTTTTCCAAATTTGACATATATGTAAGTATGGTAATTGGCTCAAGATGTAGGTGAGTGGGCCTCCTATGAGGACTGCCGTGGGGTCTGTGACCTGTTTGAGGTGGTCTCCTCAGCAGCTTTGAACTCACAGGCTTCAAAGGCTCCTGTCAGAAACGCTTCTGGGCATGTTTATGCATTTCATAACCTGCTGCTGATGTAATTTAACAGGAGCAGTTGTCTGTTCCAGCCTTTTTCCCTGCTGTTGTGTTACAGCAGCATCCATCTGCTGCTGCCCAGCACCTGCTCTAGGTTTGAAGACAAAGGTTGAGCTTTTTCCCTAAAGCCATGAGTGTTTTGCTGTAGTACATAAGTTAAATTTACCAAGGTCACAGGACGCTATTTAATGTGCTTTCTGGGAGGCTGATAGGGTACAAAAGATTGGTTTGTACCCTCCTGTCAGAAGGATGAGGCAGTAATACAAGAGCTCAGTTATTTGTGTGCTGAGGGAGCTGTGGTTCTCCAGTGATGTGACAGATTCACTAATGATACCTGACAGAAGTATTGCAAAGGAGTAATTGTGAAAAAACCCAGCTCCTTTCTGTTATGCAATGTTTTTAAGAAGGAAATATTTTCTTTTTGTAATTTGAAGAATGCAAGTTCCTATTTGACAAAATATTGAACTCAGGTGACTAGTGAGTAGGTGTAAATTGAATGGAAACTACTTCAAAATACAATTAAATACTTTCTTGTCTGTAGAGACCTTGAATTTTGGTAATAGGTTTTGAATTTTAATACTTTGTATTGATTTTCAAAGAATTCCAAGATATTGTCACTGTCTTGTTCAGGAGATGAGGGGGGATGGTTGTTAGTCAGCTCTGCTTAAAATCACTGCGCCAGAAGAAATTCTTCCCTGTGAGGTTGGTGAGGCGTGGGCACAGGGTGTCCAGGGGACCTGTGGCTCCCCTATCTCTGGCAGCATTCAAGGCCAGGTTGGATGGGACTTGGAGCAACCTGGGATAGTGGAAGGTGTCCCTGCCCATGGCGGGGGGTGAAACAAGATGAGCTTTAAGTTTCCTTTCTGACACAAACCATTCTGGGGTTCTCTGATTTGATAGTACAAAATGGTATTTTCCATCAAGGTGGTTGTATTTAAAACAACCCAACTTTTCCCACTGCTTGGTTTTTCTGAAACTTCTGTAGCAGTGAAACACTATTCCTGTTGTGAGATCCTGCTTTACAAATTATTTTAATTTATTCTTTTTTCTTTTTAAGGAAAAGTCATCAACAAGGACTTGCGCCACTACCTGAGTCTTCAGTTCCAGAAGGGCTCAATAGATCACAAACTCCAGCAAGTGATCAGAGACAATCTCTATTTGAGAACCATCCCTTGTAAGTATGTAAAGATCAGCCTCATTTGATCTGTTCCTGCTAACTCCCACATCATTTGTGAGCTTGAAATGCCTTCTCTCTTAATCCTATTTAGAGTTTTACCTTGCAGCAGAGACTTCTGGCTTTGCTACGGTAGTTTCACATCTGAAGTTGCCATGAATCAGACTGGACAGCCAGTATGGACTGAAAACCACCAAAAACTTGAGAATTCAAAGTTCAGATTGTTTCAGTAATATCTGCGCATTGCTCTTCACAAGTTCGCCAGTAGTTGCTGTTAGAATGACTGCAGCCACCACAAGAAATAAATCTTTCTCAGCATGATCAAGCAGTGCAAAGATGTCCTGATTTTTGTTCATGTGTTGGGGTTCTTTTGTTCACAAAGAGCAAGCTGAGACCTTGAGTGTCAAGTGCATAAGGCAGAGCAGGGCAGCTGGAAGGAGGGGAGGGTGGAAGGAGGAGTTGGGTGCAGAAGGAGGGGCAATGGCAGAATGAACAGGCAAACCGTTTGCTCATCGCTGAGAAGACTGATTTAAAAGGCTCATCATTGACTGTTTAAGTATTCATTGCACTAAGAACTTACTTTGTCAGATAACATTTTTGTATCTACAGGAATTCTCTCTTCTCTCTGAGCACACCCGAGAGTTTGTGGCTTTCTTAAACCTCATTTCACTATTGCTAGGTTTTATTTAGTAGCTTTTGTTAATGCTACTGCCTGAAAAAAATTACATATGCTTTTAAAATGCTATTAGGTTGTAGGCAGTAATGAATAGTAATGAATCATTGCTGTCCTTTCAGGAGAGCTTTAATTAAGCTGTTGTAACTATGGGGGGCCTGTTTTCATAGACAAAACACTTCAAAAACGTCTGCATTAACACAGCAATTTACTGATAAAATTTACCTACAGCCAGGGGTTGGAATGTGGCTAAATTGCACTCTGAATTGTAGGTTAAAAAATAAATTTTGTGCCTAGGTACGGATTTGGTGGCCCAAAAATCAAATGTGCTTGGTCATGATGACCTCATTGCAAATTAGAGAGTTGGTGCTGGTGGAAATAGGGAAGGATGCAGCACCCTTAAACTGGGTTAAAATAAAATATCGCAGCTGTTCCCAGAATCCCAGACTGGGATTGCCTGGTCCAGGTGTCGTCAGCTGCCGCAGAAGTTGTTATTGGTTCACTGACCATAAGAAAGAATTCTCTCTTAATTACCACCTTACCCAGCTTATTCTCTCCTTCTCCCCCAATACCAGAACTGTTTTTCCTAGGTAATTGACTGGCTCAGTTTTTATACATTATTGTTCACTTGCTCACCGGTTGTTGTAACTCATACTGGAGTGACATCATCTTTGTATAACGATTCGAAAATGCATTTTTACTGAACTGTACAGCAGGCAGCCTTTGGTAGCAGGGTATCTTACAAAAGTGTTTTCTCCTTTGCAGGCACTACAAGGGCTCCCAGAGATGGAGAGGTCCCTGGAGTAGACTATAATTTCATTCCTGTTGAGCAGTTTAAAGCGCTGGAAGAAAGTGGAGCCTTACTAGAAAGTGGAACATATGATGGTATGTCAGTGATGTTTAATGGGATGGGAATAAGGACCCAGTACTTGTGTCCAGGATCTTAGTCCAAGTGTAGCTTCTTGTGGTACCAGTTTTCCTGCTCACTTGACAGTCATGACAGTAGCAGAGAGACAATAGTTAGTTTATTTCTGGATTACTGTGAAGAGGAGGAGCAATCATGTTTTAAAGCTTTCTGATATACTGCAAATTGTCCTTTCAACCACTCTTAATCCTACCAGATTATTTTCATTGTTGCATTTTGGGGAAGCATTCTGAAAAGGTGTGTCTGTGCCTGGTACAAATTTAAGAGAATGTAGTCAATTTTGTGTAAACCTCAGAGAACAGAGCCATGTTCTCCTCTCAGGTGTGCAACAGAAGGACAGAAGGCAAGAGAAATTCTGACCCATCAGGGAAACAAAAGCTTTTTTCAATGAAAAGTTGAATAGCACTAGACCAGATTGTCCAAATCTGTAGGAAAGTTGGGTTTGTTAAATGTGGTGAGGAAAAACCTTGTAATGAAGTTGATGAAAAAAGAAAATACGTCAAAAGTAGACAATCCTGTGAAAGGCTCTGTGCCTCTTGTTTTCTGTATCCCACATTATCTGTTAATATTAGGAAATCTCCTACGCAAATTTAGGCTAAACTAGTACTTTTTTTCTATTCCTGAATTGAACTTTTATCTGGCTGTCCCCTCTCTGTGCCTTGCCCTTGCTTGATATTTGCAGAAGGGTTTTCTTTCTTACTTTATTTACATGGTCAAAACCCTATCCAGGCGCCAAAAGTCACCCCAGCAGGAATTCTGGGAAGCTTCCTCGCTCTGTGCCCAATTCCCTCATAAAAATCATATGAGCAGTCAGGAGAGAGATCAGTTGCTGAAATTCTTTTCCAGAAAACAGCAGATAATTCCTTTGTGCTTTAGATTAAAATATTGAAGGAAAAATCTGTTCCTTTTTCTGAAGTAAAAGTAATTTTTAGATGAAGCCATATCAATATTGTTTTGTAAGTATATTGTCAGTAGAAAATTGCAAGTGTTAAAAATCAATTGTTAACTGTATTCATGGAAATAAATACTTGTCTGCACAAAATGAATTTTCTTTTTGACTTTGGTATTTCTGTTGTGCTGTTAATTAGTATGTAGAGTAAGAGTAATTGATTTTCGCTGTTTTGTTCCTCTAAGGTTGCTCCCTAAGTCTCTTTATGGAGTATTAGTGAATTCCAGGCAAAGTAACAAATCCATCTTTTTCTTTAGAAAACTTACAGCAGGATAACAGTTTTCAGTTAACCTCTTGTTTTCTGACAACTAGTGCTGCACTGGCAAGAAGTCAGTGTATAAGTAAATGGGCTTTGACTGTTGATTGGCATTTGGTAATACTGATGTCTTCTTTGAGGCTTTAAATTTTCACCAAAATATGTTTGCGTGGGCACTAAACTGATAACAGCCAGTGCCACTGCCTTCAGCAGTATCAGTGCTTCAGTGATCCTGATTTCTGTCTCATTTTCAGGTAATTTTTATGGTACTCCAAAGCCTCCAGCAGAGCCCAGCCCCTTTCAGCCTGATCCAGTGGATCAAGTTCTTTTTGACAATGATTTTGATACTGAATCGCAGAGGAAGAGAACCACGTCTGTCAGCAAAATGCAAAGGATGGAAAGTTCTCTCCCTGAAGAGGAGGAGGAGGAGGAAAAGGAAGCAGTTAATGGTAGCGGAGGGATAGGTTAGTTGACAAGGGGAGAAATTCCCTGGAGTACTGTGTGAATGGATAAAACCTATAAAAATAGCATTCATGCTTCCTTAGTTTTGGTGAAGTATGAAGGCAGTTTCTATTCAGGCTGGTGCTTCTACTTGATTTTGAGATGACCTTTTAGAAAGCACCAGCTGTTTTCCCAGGCAGATGTGCAATTGCATCATAAAATGTACTGCTTGGTCAAGGACATGTGGTGCTGGATACGGGCCACTTACATGAGCGGGAAGGAAAAATTTGTCCACTCTTCATACCCTGCAAATGTTACTGTTGAATTTTGAGTTGGTTACTGAGTTTTTACACAGGAGATTTTAAGGAAGTGATTGGTTTAAGGGGCAACATTGGCTCATACTGTAAAATTTTCAGATGATTTTGCATAGGGGAACTGTCACACAACCTGAAACCACCTGAGGGGGAGCTTGTGGAGAGGAATAAAGCCAAGTGTGTTGAGGCTGGAGCAGTGTCCAGCAGGACCTTTCTGGGATTGGCAGGATGCCCTTTTCCTTTTGCTGTCATGGTTACTCATCTGGAGGGGGTGAATTGATGGTGGAGAGGAACTGTCACATTGCATTTGCAGCTGATCCTGTGTGTTACTGTTTAGGACAGATTTACACTGACTAGACCTGACCTAATCTTGTGATCTTCAGGGCTGGCAACAGCACAGAGGGGCCAGCGGTCAGGCTGGTGGTTGGGTGAAAGTCACGGACATTGTCATGTCACAGAGGGTATCAAGCATAGCCTCGGTTCTGAAGGGTAGAGGCTTCTATTTAAAATTTCCTGCACAAATTTTTGGGATTTTTTTCTAGGCGTGATTTGTAGGAAGGTGTGGTTTATTTTACTGGCAGTTAGGGTCTCCTCTACATTTCCTTTTGATTCTTTGAGGAATATTAGTAGGATTTTTTGAGTTGTTTTATGGCATTACAAACACTGTTCTCTCTGTAGAAATGGCAACAAAGCATAGTCAACTTGGATTTCTGCCAGTGTTGATTTTTCAGAGTAGGCTCAGACACATAATACAAGGTTAACTCTGTTTGGCAGGGGAAGAGCAGAGTTCAGTGTTTTCATGTCAGCTTGTCAAAGTTTACAGCTGAAAAAAAGAAAGTGAAAAAATGCACATCACATACAGGAATGTGTTTGACATCCACTCATAGCCAGATTAAGAGGGTGGTTCTTTTTGAGAAACAACATAAGCATCTGACAAACACTTTCCCTGAACAACTGCAGAAAACAAAGAAAAGCATTCAGATTCTCCTGACTGGATGAAACCTGTTCCCAGCTACAACCAGACAAGCAGCAACATGGACTTCAGAAATTATTTGTCGAGGGATGAGACTCTGGAACCACTACCCAAGAACTGGGAAATGGCCTACACGGACACTGGCATGATCTACTTCATCGAGTGAGTAACTCGCTCCTTGGAGAAGTGCTGGTGGCTGCAGTCTGGAAAGCTGCTCTTTCACCTCTTTTCTGCTCTTGCTGCTTCTATTTCTTTATCAGGTTTAATATATTCATACTGCTAAATTCCTTACTCGTAGTCCTCAGTGTTGCACGCTTGGTACAATTGCCATTGTGCAGGAAAACCTTATGGTTCCACCTGCAAAGTCTGTTTGTTTGTTTCAAGGTTTTGTATCTCACACATACAAAGCTGGCTGGGTATTGTTAAGTGAAGCATAACATGGAACCTCTATGTCAAATTTCTCTGAAATTTGAGACCTTGTTTGTTTTTTCTTCTCAGCTTGTGTTCCTTGGCTGGGAATGGATGTTTCAAAATACAAATAGCCCAGATGGAAGCCCGAGTTAGGAAAGTAGCTCATGTGTGCACATGTAAAACTGCCTCATTTATGAGTTCTAAGGCAAGAATGAAACAGAAGCCTTCCTGAGCATTAAGCATATGAGGAGGCTAAAAATATTTTTTTCCTATCAGGTAGAAACAGCTGCTGTTTCCATATGAGCTTTTGGGGGCTGGGGAGGGGATCTGTGCCTCTAACATTGCCCGTGTGCTCTGGAGAGTCTTCACTGTGCTGGTGCCTTTTCTTTTTAGTATTTTACAATGTGACTGAGGCACAAATAAAGGTTCTATTATCTGTACTCTGCAGTTTCCTACAGTAGTAAATACTCGAAGCAAAGTTTCTTCAGTGTGAAGGAGTTCTCTTACTCTTACACACTGGCACGTGTTCTGCTCCACAGTCACAACACCAAGACAACCACATGGCTTGATCCCCGGCTCTGTAAGAAGGCCAAAGCTCCTGAAGATTGTGAAGATGGAGGTGAGATGTTCAGAATGCATTTGTCACCTGTCACCGATAAATGTATGAGTTTATCCCAGCTAGATACGAGCTGTTACTTCTGTGGTAGAAGCTTCTCCCTGGTAGATGAGACTTTGGAGCTGGCAGTGTAGTGCCGAGCGTCCCGTTTGGCGGCAATAGGAACTCACGTAAGACTGGGAAAGTCCACGGTGTATTTTCCCTGGAGTAGTAGAATCTGGCTAAATGGAAGGTTTATCTGCATTCCCGAGCAGAATGTGACCTGTTTTGTTCCAGTAAGTGTCATTTTTAAGGAGAAAGCTGCACATGAGTGATGCTCTCACTGGAAACTCCTGGATAGGTGGAATATGGCAGAAGGAGAAGGTCCATAAGTAACAGAATATAGAAATAATGAAGAAGGTGTGGCAAAATATACATATTCCTAATGCAAACTACTGCATGTGGCATAGTATTTGAATGCAGAGGCTAAGGGAGCAATCTGACTGATTTAAATTCCTTCAAGACTTCCAGGTCAGTAGCCTCCAGGCAATTCCTGCAAACATTTGCTACACGGTTGGGCAATTTAGTCTGCTAGAAAAGAGTATCAGGTAGCTCTGTCTTGAGCAAATGCCTGACATGTTCCAAAAGCTGAAGCAGGCTCAGAATGACCTGTCATCCTCCAAAACTGCCCACCCTAACAGCCATGTATCCCTAATGAAGCCAGATGGAGCAATAGCTGTGTACTGCTGCTTATTGAACATACGTGCAGCTCGCCACAGGATAAAAGGAGCACTTTAAACAGAGATGCCATATATGCAAATGAACAATACTTAAATTAATAGAACCGTTGGGTCTTTAGTCAGACCCTGTGGAGCAATGCTTTTGTTAGTAATTGGTAACATGCTGTCATATGCTAGGGAAATTCCTGTTATTGTCAAACTTAAGGCGGTCTCAAACAAGATTGCAGGGCAAATTTACCCATAAAATGTCTGGCTAACTGACTATATTCATTATTCTAATATTTAAATTTCTATGGTCAAGTTAACTAGAACAATAAACTTGATAAGCTGACCTCTATGGTAACTGCTTGTTACCTTCAGGTAGTCATGAGCTGCTGGCACCCTCTTATCAGATGCTGAGTTTGCCATCAAAAGGAGCCTTTTGCATGTGATTTTCAGTACAAACAGGTCTTTGAGTTTATTATGTGTTTAACCTGGTGTGATTTCATTGAATACAAGGCTCATTATTTAGTGGAAGAAGGAGTAATAATTACGGGGCTTCACATTCCCTGGAACGGGCTGATACTTTTCATCAGGGAAGAAAATGGGACCTCTATTTTCCTTATATTTTTCATGAGTCTAGATGTTCTTTAATGAAAACTCTGCTATTTGTGGATAGTTTTGCCTTGTAATGGAGAACTTGGTCTTTCTGACTGCAGAACTTCCTTATGGATGGGAGAAAATAGAAGACCCTCAATATGGGACATACTATGTTGAGTAAGTGATAATTATTGATTTGGCATCCTTAAAAATTGAACATGAAATTCTGAAATGCTTGATACTCAGTAAGCAGAGGTTGTAATGCAGTGAAAGGCCAGGTTGGACAGGGCTTGGAGCAACCTGGTCTAATGGAAGGTATCCATGCTCATTGCAGGCAGTGTAACTGGATGGACTTTAAGGTTCCTTCCAGTCCAAACCATTCTGTGATTCTGTGAAACTTAAATATATCCAGGAAAAACAGTTCTGGGGTCATGAAGTCATGGCACAAACTTCTGATAGCACTGGCATGTGGGAAAATCCACGGTGTGACCGTCAAGACTCAGTGTTTTTCATTCAAGGAAGGAGAGCAAGTTGCAACCAAAGTAATTTGTAGATGGAAATGAGCTGATGCAGTGTTTCATAGCTTAACAAAAACAAAGTCACTTGACTTAAGAGCAGCACCCGATAACTTTAAAAGAGCAAAAATATCTTGTATATCATTGCTGTCTCCAAAGAGCCAAGTCAATAACCACTGAACTGCTGCAAAGCTCTTCTGAGTCTCCTTCAGGCCAGAGGAAATTAAATCTCTCCTTTATTATGGAGAAGAAAATCGGTAGAGTTGAAAATGTAGCTTTGGACAACAAGAAAACATTTTTCACTTCTCAAAGTCAAGCTGTTTGTTTGAATTATGCTCAAATATGTTGGTTTTTCCCTCCTCTGCTGTACTTCTCTAGCATCTACTAGGAAAAAGGTGATGCCTGAGTTTGTAAACACTATAGGTAGGTGGATTAAGAGAAAAATCAGATTTGCTCAGTTCTAAACTATTACAACTCTACCTACTGATTAAAGGGAGTAAAATTTTATTTGCTTCAAAGTAAATTAAAAAAAAAACAACCTGCTGAAAGAACAAGCATACTTTCAGTATTGGTTATGAGAGTTTTTTGTTCATTTCTCTGGAGCATTCATCTGACATAATAAAAGAGAATGTTTGTAGATGTATTTTTTTGGTGTTGTCTCTTGGGGGAAATAGTCAGAATGTTTTCTGTCAAAGTCCTGACCTACCTTTTGTGTGCCTGCAGTCATATTAACCAGAAAACTCAGTTTGAAAATCCAGTATTGGAAGCCAAAAGAAAAAAACAGCTAGGACAGACTGATGCTGGCCCTTCCAAATCAGGTATCGCTGAATATCGTGTTCTTTGTCACATATATCTTTATCTGCAAGTACGCTTTGTAAAAACCCAGTTCTGGAATTCATCGAGGCATCAGCCTTGTCTTTCTGCTAGCCATTACAGTACTACCCGCCGAGATCTTCTGGCTTTTTTAAGGATTTTTTTTTGTGTTAAAATTGAACCGAGGCACTAAGACTGCTTTTAAATTGTTTTGGTTGTTCTGAAGCTGGTCATCATAAACAGCTTTGGAATATATGGAGGGTTAGAAGAGCCTTCTGGAAGTGCAGGTAAAACCACACTGGGAGTTTTTATACTTTTGATCTACTTTAAGCTTGGTATTCAAGGATTAAAACTGGGAATTCGAGATGGGAGGTTTGCATACAGCTCTGTTGCAATCCATTAAAAAAAGGCCTCTTTTCCATTCACTGAATTCAGCTGGAAAATGAGTGTAACACTTTCCTGTCTGTTTGCTTTATTCCTTAAGAGCGCTTCAGAAGCTGACCAACAATAAACAAATCATTAACCTTTGTGACACCTTAAAAATAAACAAAAACCTTTCCCGAACTAACTCTGGTTTCCTGCATTCCCGTCTCTGTATTCCATAATTCCATAGGACCAGGGAGGTCTGTCTTCACTCGAGATCCATCCCAGCTTAATGGAGCACTTATTAGGACATCCCTGAAAAAAAGTACCATGGGATTTGGCTTCACAATCATCGGAGGGGACAGGCCTGACGAGTTTCTCCAGGTGAAGAATGTGTTGAAAGATGGACCCGCTGCGCAAGACGGAAGAATTGCTCCAGGTCAAGTATTATTTCTGTACAGTTCCGTTTCCTGGGGTACTTCGGAGAACACGGCTTGAGGTGCTGGAGGTTGGATGACTCCATCCACATCCTCACTAAATTAAGTATTTTCTGATTTGTGAAAGATCAGTGCAGAGCAGTGGCTGAAACATTCTAGATAAAAATCTACTTTAAGGTCACTTCTGAAGTTTTCAGTACTTCTGCTTTAGCAAAAACACTTGTCTTCATGTTTATTCATAGAATGATTTTCCTCTCTGTAAGTAAAGTAAAAATCATGTGTTTGAATCCTGGTCTGTTTTGCCTTGTTGCTGACAAGATCCATGACTCTCATTATTAAAACTACAGAAAACCCACAGCAGGAATGAGGAAGCAAAGTTGTGTGAGCTGGACAGGTGAGGAGAGAAGAGGGACGAGGGTTTCTGCAATCCATGAAGACTTGCACATTTTCTCATGGTTATTACATGTGTAATTAAGTCACCTATAACCTCTGGTCCTAAACCAGGACAGCATATTAGAAAGGGAAAAATGCTTCTTTATGTATAACATAGACTCTTACTCTTCAAATGAGTGAAAGAACTCATACTTTGAATGATTAATACTATTTACTTACAAAATGAAACAATTTCCTGTTTTGTTGCTGATGTATTGTTTGAACTTGTTTGCATGTGGTTCATTTTCCACCTCTGCAAAAATGAAAACACTCCTGCAGAACTGTTGGAATGAAAAGAAGTGCAGCTATTCTGATTGTAGTTCATGGAATAAGAGAGATCCTGTTTTACTGATGCCTGGGCATTAAAGGGATAGGACAGTTTGAAGGGCATATTGTACTGCACGTGCAAAGTTTCACATCAGAGTGATGAAAGCATGAAACGGGGTTTTGGGATCCTTAGCGCCTGTCACTTCATTTTGAAAATGTATTCTTAGCCATGTCTGGCAGCAGTGTAAGTGTATGGAGCATGTGTGCATGTGTGATCCTAGTTTAAGTTCAGCCAGTCCTAAAATAAACGGAGGGCCAAAAAATCCGATTTATTCTGCATTTGGTTTAGGATGCTGTGCAATATGAATTAAAGCAGAAGACATCTGCTTGCTTTAGTGAGCATGCTCTGTTTCATCTCCCCTGGCTGTAAAGTATCATTTTTTAAATCTGCTGCAGATTAAACTTTATATATTTAGCACACGGTGTCCCGAGATGAAATAGAATAAATGCAAAGAGGAAATTCTTTATGCTTTTTGGCAATATTAGCCATGAGGTAATATCCCAGACACTAGTTATTAATTTGAAGACAGCACTGTGATTTCCTCAAGGTAGGCTTTTGTTGAAGATTTCACTTCTGCTTTTGACACTCTCAAACTTTCTTTTGTAACAGGTGATGTCATTGTGGACATAAACGGAAGTTGTGTCCTTGGCCATACCCATGCAGATGTTGTCCAGATGTTTCAGCTCATTCCCATCAATCAGTATGTGAACATGACTTTGTGTCGTGGGTACCCTCTTCCTGATGACAACGAAGACCCCGTGGTGGATATCGTGACAGCCACGCCCATCCTTAACAGCCCACTGGTGACCAAGGGAGATGCTTCTGTGTCCAGCCAAGATTTAGTAGCGGGAACAATCGTGTTGGACCAGAATGGGAAAATATTGGCCAACGATCGTCTGAACGGCCCTTCCGTGGATTCAGCAGAGCAGAGGGTCTCCTTTGCCTCCTCAGGAGGCTCTCAGCCGGAGTTGGTCACCATCCCTCTGGTCAAAGGGCCTAAAGGCTTTGGGTTTGCCATTGCAGACAGTCCCACAGGCCAGAAGGTGAAGATGATTTTGGACAGCCAGTGGTGTCAAGGCCTACAGAAAGGGGATGTCATCAAGGAGATTTGCCATCAGAATGTGCAGAGCTTGACTCACTTGCAGGTGGTGGAGGTGCTCAAGCAGTTTCCAGTAGGAGCAGAGGTGCCCCTGCTTATCTTAAGAGGAGGTACAGACAAAATTGCAGTTGTCATGTTGGTTATAAGCTTTTTAAAATCCTGTTTTAGTGTGATATCTAAATCGTGTCCAGTCTTGACAGCTACAGAGCAACTCATTTTATCTCTGAGCTATTATGTTCTAAGTTTGATTTATACCCCTGACTATTTAGGCTTAGAGCGTGTTGCTGGGGTTTTGTTTGGGGTTTTAGTTAGGTTTTTCTTTGGGTTTTTTCCCTCAAAAATTATATGGTGATATGTTTATGCACTGTCTCTTCCAAGTCTCTGTGGAGTGCTAAAGCAAACACATGGTCTCCAGTATAATGCAAAGCATATGATGGACTGAGTTTTGTGAGGTTCTCAAAATATATTCCAGTAACTGTCTGTAATGAATAGGGGATTGCAGGAGATGGGAGGAAGCATTAGCAAAGAGGTGGGGCTGATCACTGGGAATAGCAGAAAAAAATTCTGATTTTTCCATTGCATATTCATACCTCTTCCTTGATTGTCAGTCACGGACAAGAATGCATTTTGTCCCCAAAAAGCAGTATGTGACTTTCAAAGGAAGCTGAATCTGAATGGATTATGAAGCAGCTCTTAGCTGCTCAGTGTCCCTTCAGGCTTTATTGTAACCCTGACTTCAGCCACTGGCATTTGCAAAAATCTCCGGATTTTGTCCCGTATAAATGCTACTATTCCTGAATCAGCTAAGGAGATAATTCCATTTCTTTGTGGCAAGTGAAATTCCTTCAGACAAATTCCTAAGTTTCCTTATCCCATGAGTTGAGGGGTGACTTGGTTGACCAGTTTCTAGCAAGAAGAGAAATAGATATTTTTCATTGTTGTACAGCTTTCAATTCTAATTTGAGACTTCTCCAAAGTGATGGTTTTGGTCACTTTGCCATTTAAAAGCACAGTGAATCAACCACTATTATTTTCACCCCAAGAGCATCTGATTATATTGCTGTAATGTTGAAACGTTTTGTAACCTGCTATTAAAATTACTTTCTATTTTCTTCAGGTCCACCCTCACCTACTAAAGTTGCCAAAGGAGTGAGTATTGGTGATGTATTTATCTTGGTTTCTGAGCTGCTTTGTAATCTCATTTCCTCTGGATTTTAGTCCTTGTGATAACCTACCTGCAAGATGGTTTACCAAAACCACATCTGCCTGGTAGGCATAAAGTCTTTGTCTAAGTAGCTGCTGTCCAAGTACACATTAAAAGGGAAACAAAATACAGTATGTTTTTTTTTTCATTGCTAATTATTAAAGTGAAATGGGATTCCTAAAGGAAGTTTATGATCCTTTGATTCTTCTTAATCCTTGTGTTTATGGAGGATTAATTAATGTACTGGTTAGTGCTCCCTTCTGGAAGTGCTTATCTTTGGATCCATATTTTCAGCAAGTCTCTGTGGAGCAGTACATTCCTAGCTCGATACTCATTGCTCTTGGAAGTTATCTGTCAGAGCATCTTTAATATATATTAGCTCAGTAAAGAATCCTTGGTCTTAATAAAACAACCTCTAATTTAATAATGCTGGTATTAATGCTTATGTTTATTTTGAAGGTTTCTGTTATAAATCAGGCTGGTAGAACACAGATACTTCTTTAAAAATGCTTCTTATACAAATCAGGGCAATTTAGGAAAATCCCATTCCCAGAACGTAGCTGTAACTTCTCTTTCTATCTTTATCCTGCTGTTTGAGTGCAACCTTAGTTCTATCCCAGCAGTGACATGACACAGGAGCACATGTTCAGCATGCTCAAAGACGACTGTACTCAGTAAGGTCTTCAGATTGGGTTCCTCTTCAGATTCAGATCTTCAGATTCAGCATCCAGCTGCCCACACTGAACAAATCAGAGCAGAAATCCCCGCAGTTGGAGGGCCCCGTCGGCACGGATCCCATGGCAATGTGCTAAAAATAGTTTGGACTTGGGGACTGGCATTCTGTACCAGCACACGTACAGGAGCGACAGCCCACAGAGCACTCGATGCTCAGTGGCATTAAGCAGCGTGGCAAAGTAATTCACTTAAAAAGGGCAAGTTCTTGTGTTTATAAACATACAAGAAGTGTCACACTACTGCATGGCTCTGGGCAGTTTATTCTGCTCTTGGTGAAAGGGCAGATCTACGTCTGTTCTGCCCCTGCTATGGTTCAGCATGCACTGCCACGTGCCAGTTTTCCAGGCTGGGTTTCAGCCCAGGAGAAGTATTTAGAGTTATTTTAGTGCATAATTCACTGGGAGTTTAGATGAGAGACCACAAGGATGTTTGGTGTCCTTGCCTCATGAACAGAAGTGTTGCAGATCATGAAAAGGCACATAGGAAGCTGTTAATACCTCACACTACCCAGGTGTGTCCTCCTGTTCTGTATATATATTGCTCCAGCAAACAGCTCATGCTGTACTTGTGGGGAGGAGCTTGGCAGAGGACAGGAGGCAGTGCCTGCAGAGTAGCACGTGCCCACAGTGCTGGATTGTGGTCCAGAGCCTGGCAGGTGCCTGACAAGGATTCGGTGTCTTCTCTAAAAGTGATCGGTCCTTTATGCCCTACTTCATGCCATGTATTGCTAACCACCAGCATCTGCCCAGCTTCACTCCTCTCTGAGCATCAGTCACTTCAAACTCTTTCCAAGCCTAGTCTCCAGTAGAAATTCATGTACCAGTGAGGAAGACTTCAGTACTCTGGTCAGACGCGTACCAGAAAAAAAGGAAAAGCTGTCATTTTACTGGAAAAGCTGTAATTTTGTTCCTTTCTACTTCTATTTTTCTTCTGCGTGGTGTTCGTTTGTTGTCTTTGCATGACATTTACATGATAAGCGTAGTCATGCCTTTATTTAATATGGATTTTGTGTCCGTGGCCTATTTCAGAAGGGCAAGCAGGACAGTTCAGGGAGTTTGGAAGCTGTCTGCGATACCATTCCGCAGCCGATGCCCTTCCCGCCCTCTGCTGTGCGACCAGGCTCTCCTAAACTGGACCCTTCCGAAGTCTACCTGAAGTCTAAGACAATTTATGAGGACAAACGTAAGTATATCATCTTCAACTTGAAATTGCTCAATGATGAGGGAATTTTTTCTTTTGTTGTATGTGCAGTAAAGCTACTGAGACTTTGTTGTGAAGTTTGCTAACCTGCTGTGGATAATACATTTCAAGTCATGCATAATTCAAACAGGAATGAGAAAAACAAAAAAGATAAAATATGTTTCAACCGTATTTTCAGTTAAACAGTTAATAGCAGAAATAATCTCAAGGATGGTTCTGAAGTTCTGAAGTTAGCTGGAGCAGACCTGCTTATAAAAGTAGCGCTGAGTTGTGTCACAGACTGGCTTTTATCCTGGTCTACTGCACAGATGTGGTTGTGATTTCTGCTTAGAAAATTAATTATTGAAAATTAATACCTCTTTTGAAAAGAGAATATCACTGTATTTCTGTTTACTGTGTTTTGTCACTAGAAGACTCAGAGTGTATCACCGAAGTATAATCCTTCAATAATCCAAAATAGCTCCTTATATGTTTTGAAATACTGTTTTTTTTCTTAGCTCCAAACACAAGAGATTTAGATGTTTTCCTGAGAAAACAAGAGTCAGGCTTTGGTTTCCGGGTGCTTGGAGGGGACGGACCGGATCAGCCTGTAAGTGAAACTGCTCACAGTTATCTCGTAGTTTTGCTGTTGGAATGATCCTACTCTGTCATCCTCATTTCCCATCATCCCATCCAGGCAGTTCAGAGATGGCAAAATTGACCAATTTGCTACCTGACTTTCAGAGATCAGGAATCAGTCCAGATTACCTTTATTTTTTCCCCTCTTTGCAGACTCCGGTCTCCAAGGTTCTGCACCCTTCTTAGTACCGAGCCTATCCTTGGCCACAGTTTTTTGTTGGGCTGAGGACACTGGCTGTTGATGTATCTCGGAGCCTTTGGAAGGGCCGTGCAGGTGCCCAGCCTTTGCCCATTGTCACTTGAGCTCAGCGGTGGCCTTGGCACAGGATGTGCCCGGATTCAATGATCGGTGTGCTGTGCACAGCAGTGCACCCGGGGAACCAGCTGAGCGGAAGGAAGCGGTTACTCCTCCTGTCAAAACTTCATTAGGCTGTTCCTTTTCTTGCAGCCCAGTGAAATGAGGTTCGACATGGTGACACACCCCTTCTATTCCCTGCTTCTCCCACTGGATTTTTAAGCATGCATTGCATTGGAGGCAGCTGGGCAAATACCAGCGCAGACACCCCTGGATGGTCCGTTCTCCGAGGGCTGGTTTTAGGAGACTCCTCTCTATTTTCAAACGTGCATAAATTCCTCTCTGGAAGAAAGCACTAAGACTTGTATTATATATTGGGGACCTTTCTTTAAGCTGTTAAGTGGAGAGAAAAAGCTTTTGGAATAGATCTGCAGAGATTATTTCCTGATTACAATGAAGGAATTCAGTTTTTCCATTCCCAGCTGTGATCTAGTGCTAGCCTTTTTTTTTCCTCTTCCTCCCTCACTAACATGCATTTAAAGTAAGGAGCAAACACAGAGAATGTCACTTCTGTTGCACTTCATAGCATTTGTGGTGTTTGGTTTCCATAACAGCCATAGCTGTTAGGAAGTATGGACCTGCTGTCTTGAGTGCTGTGTACTGATGAGCTGCCCACTGTTCCTTAACCTCTAGCAGTACTAGCTGTAGTTACCCTTAATCTTCCATTTAATCAGAAAGTGATTGTAACATATGAAATAGAGTGTGGTGCTTTTCTCTGTGTTTTATTTAGTAGCACTTTTTGAAGTGGGGTTAGGCAGAACTGATGATGTTTGAATTCATTATCTAATTACCAAAAGCTGAGAACTGAAGCAACTTGAAGTGTGGAACTGTCTATAAGCAATTATTTTCAGAAATAAACTTGAGTTCATTCAAAAGCTTTTATTTCTTTCCCAATCATTCTGTCTCAGTCTTGGTAAAAAAATAAAGCAGAGTGAATGTCAGAGGCTTTTGTGTCATTAGTGTCTAGGAAATCGTATGTGTAATAAGTACATGGCATACGCTCATTTCAAAAGCTGAGCCTTTTAATAAACTGACAAACATGCTCAAGAGAGCAGAACTGACAAAAATAAGGATTAAAGATTTTTGAAGTATTCAGTGAATGCTTTGAGACCCCAGATTGTCTCAACTAGATCAGCTTGTGCAGAGTGCGCTTTCTGGCTTCATTTCTGCTAGAGCGGGACAGTGAGATAATCTTGGAAAGAGTCTTCCCAAAAGACCTCGTCTGCACATCAACCACTGTGTGTTCTGATGAATCCACGTTCCCATTCAAACCCCCGGACTCTGCTCACAGATCTATATTGGAGCCATAATCCCATTGGGAGCAGCGGAAAAGGACGGGAGGCTGCGTGCAGCGGATGAGCTGATGTGCATCGATGGAGTCCCTGTGAAAGGGAAGTCACACAAGCAAGTTCTGGATTTAATGACCAGCGCCGCACGGAACGGGCAGGTGCTGCTCACAGTCCGGAGGAAGATCTTCTTCGGTGGTAGGTGTCCGCTTGCCCAGAAGGAGCACTTGTAGGGCTTGTAATCGAATCCACCGAAGCTGCTCTGGAACTTAATTACTGCACTGAGGCTGAGCAGCCTGAGATTGAGGAGGGTCAGCTATAACTCTGAAATGGAGAAAAGCAGAATTTAATAAGCTTGGACCCCATTGCTCGCTAGCTTGTGCTGCTTACACAGATAAGGCTCTGAAAATTATGATGCAGCCGTGATTTCTTTTTTGTAGAAGGTAGTAGTTAAAACAGCCATTAGTGCTGTGGAAATTGCATAATAACGCAGTCTCTTTTCTGAGCATCTCAGAACGTTTTGGGTTGAAAGGGACCTTAAAGCTCATTTTGTCCCACATCCTGCCACGGGCAGGGAGGGGCACCTTCCGTATGCTGTATTCTCAAATCTTTCACATCGGTGTGTAGCAAGTTTAACTATTCAAACGAGAGCCATTTCAGGGCAGGATCTTGAGATGCTGCAGTTTTAGATCGGTGTCCAGATCAACAGTTCAGATATTAGTCTGTGATTCCATGAATGACAAAGCTGGGATGGGATTTACAGCTGACAAGGGCCCCCTGCTCTGACTGGCAACTGCTGTTGCCACCTTATACTGGCACTGACACTTGAGCTTCATGGTTGTGCTGAAGTCGCTTGGTGTGATTGTTTCTTATTTGTTGTTTGTCCATTCCCTGCAAGGGGAAAAGCAGGCAGAGGAGGAGGAGCCACAGCCTGTCCTGACACAGAACAGCTCTCCCCAGCTGAACCGTGTTGACTTGGCCAACCAGCCGTGCCCGGAGGTCTACGATGTCCGTCTGCAGCGGAAGGAGAACGAAGGATTTGGCTTCGTCATTCTCACCTCCAAGAACAAACCTCCTCCTGGGGGTAAGTGCCATGTCCTGGTGGCTCTGCCCCTGCCTGGCCTCGCTGGGCTTCTCCAGGGATATGGCTTCCTCTGCACTGCTGGTGTTTCCCTCATAGTCAGCTTTCACTTACACTGGCACAGCCCAGCCAGCTAAGTCTTGGTCTGTCTTGCTTCATATTTATGCTCTTGGTCACCCCACTGTGACATAAGTGGGGAACGGGGAATTTATATCCCACACGACCCATACCCAAGAGTGCACTTGTCACGGGGCAGCATTTAGGATGTAGATATTTGTCAGGCAGTGGCGATGATGCATTAATTCATTGGCATTTTAATGGAAGCGTAGTTTCAACCTTGGCTTTGTATTACCTAATCAGGTAAAATTTCTTGTTTTGGGGATCTGAGGAAGTAGAGTCTACAGTATTTGGTGGAAAGCAGTGAAGCCATTACCATCACTGAGTGTGTTTGTCTAGGAAGATCATCAAAGTCAAAAAGTGGCCTGGTCTGGTATTGCAGTTGAGATATGGACGTGGCTCCGGCATGGTTGTCTCTAGTTCTGCCTTTGCGGTCATCTCTGGGAAAGGAGCTGAAATCAGTCTTTTTTCCTTCTACTTCTCACAACATTTCTTGTTTTCTCCATTCTGTCTGTTCTGGCCCCATAGCCCTTGCTTCCGGAGGAGTCTGTGCAGGGCACGGTATCACTCTGGGGTAAACCAAGCCAGGACAGCTGGAAGAAATTTGAGACAATTATTACAAGTGCACGTTCATCTCAGAGATCAGGAAAAGTGGTCAGGCCTGTGCAGAGCTGATGTAGCATCTTGCTGGCCTTGCGCAGGCTCCCTGCTCAGGTCCTCACCTGACTGAATCAGTCCCAGGCAGGAGAAGTTTGATATATATTTTTAAGTGTGTTTAAGGGTTAATTTTTTTTTTGCAAGTGGGAAGAGTTTGCCCATGCATCTGAATCTCTGCGTTACAGTGGATGGCCATAACTCTCTCTGAGCCCTTACCGTCCGTCAGGGTTGATGCATGAAGTGGAAAACTACATTATATATGGTAAAACCAACTGTTACGGTGCACTTCAGGGCCACACGTTCTCACTCATCCCTTTGTGACCCATTTCCTTCCCACGTTTTCCTTCAGGCAAAACACCCTGTATGTGACAAGGCCATGCTGTTGGGTTGGCCTCTCCATTCGCTCACAGTGAGGCATTTCTCATTATTTGCAGGTTTGTCCTGTACAAGTGGTGCCACCCTTTGGAGCAGGAGAGCGGGGACAAACGCTGATCACTGCTCTGTAATGGCTAGTGACAGGACCAAGGGAATGGCTGGAGCTGTGCCAGGGGAGAATTAGGTTGAGTATGAGGAAAAGCTTCTTTCCCCAGAGGGTGGTGGGGCAGTGAACAGGCAGGCTCCTCAGGGAAGTGGTCACAGGCCCAAGGCTGCCAGAACTCAAGGAGTGTTTGGACAATGCTCTTCAGGCACAGGGTGGGATTTGTTTGGGTTATGGGATGTCCTCTGCAGTGACAGGAGTTGATCATCCTTGTGGGTCCCTCCAACTCAGCGTATTTTGTGGTTCTGTGACTGGTAATTCTGGGTCTATGTGATGCTTATCTGAAGTGCACATGGTAGGATTCTTGAGGTTGCCCTGTGCAGGGCCAGGAGCTATACTTCGATCCTTGTGGATCCCTTCCCACTCAGGATATTCCATAATTCTGTGAATACTTATAGTGTTGCTGCGCCTGTTCTTGTTTTCTAGTGATTCCTCACAAGATCGGGCGGGTTATCGAGGGAAGCCCGGCTGACCAGTGTGGGAAGCTGAAGGTGGGCGATAGAATCTCAGCGGTAAACAACCAGTCCATCGTGGAGCTCTCCCATGACAGCATTGTGCAGCTCATCAAGGATGCAGGCAACGTGGTGACCCTCACGGTGGTGGCTGAGGAAGGTAAGGAAGGTGCCACTACATTATCAGAGTTGGGTATTTATCACTGCTGAAGTTTACTGGCTTAAATGGAGTATTTGAAGGTGTTTGGAAATTTAGGAGATTGAATCTTGGAATATCCCGAGTTGGGTGGGACCCATGGGGATCATCAGCTCCTGGAAGCTGAGCATGTTGGAAGCTCGTGTGTTTGCTCTGGAGGAGCTGAAGGCGGGTGGGACAGAGAGAGAGAGGAGCTGCCGCAACAAGGTGATCATACCCAAAAAGAAGCTAGACCATGCAGTGAAGAGTGAGAGAAATTCTCATGTGTGAGAAGATGCTGCTGACATAGAAACGTCCCGTCCAGACCTTGTATTTTCCAGCCATAGAGAAATGACCCCTCCTCAGGGGGCTGCAGCAGCCACAGGATGATGCTTAGTGGGAAAATCTTCTCACCCTGGCTCAGGGCCTGGCTCTTGCTGTTTCAGGTGCTGCCAGAGCTCTGTTCTCAATGAGGCCAGTGCTGCCAGGATGCCGTGTCCCTGCTCTAAGGCCACAGGGACTCCTGTTTTTCAAATCTCTCCTTTTAAACCCTGAGTTTTTGCTGTCTCTCATGTTAATACACAGATTCCCTAGCGCTGCATTGCTGCAGCAGAAACATGCTGCAGTTCTGTCTGCCAAAGCTCTCCTTTGGAAAAGGGTCACATCCCACCACATTGGAAAAAGACACCTGGTTTTTCTGCCAGTCTGTTCCACCTGCAAAACGTGCTGTGTCACCTGCGCAGCAAAATGAGTCCTAAGAACTGCAAAGCCCCATCTTCAGAGACTGTGACTTAATGACAGCTCCCATATAACACTGCATGCACTGTGGTATTGTTTCTAAACAAAAATGTAAATTTATAAAATCCAGTAATTTGGAGAGAAAAGCTGTTTTCCCACCCTGCGTTTTTCTTGAATGCTGCTTATGGGTTTAATTAAACTCTCTATCATTTTGTCATAAAGTTGGCTTTCTTCACCTTTTAAAGAAGAAATACCTAGAACCAGGCTGTGAATAAAGCCAGCAGATGATTCTCTAATTTCACGTTCATTGCAAATATTTAGCATGCCATCTCAGCCTGTAACACAGAATTTCAAAGACTTAATGCTCCTTTTTGTTAATGCTTGAAGTAGAGAGACCTCTCTAAGTTACTTTTCTATTAAGATTTTTATTTTTATCCAATCTATTTCATTTCATTCCAGTTTGAAGGGACACACTTCAAAGCAGTTGCCATGAGTGATGTGTATAAAGCAACTGAAGTTTGAGTTGATTGAATTAGATCTGTATTCTCTGCAGCTTTTGGTCTTCAAATCCAGACTGGTTTTGGTTGGAAGGACCTGAAACCCCATTCATTTCATTCCGCTCCCTGACATGGATAGGCATACCTTCCACTTGTTTTCAAAATAAGTTTTCTCAATGTCATATTTCTGCCCATTGTTTATGCATGTCCTTACACAGACTCCATGTAAAAACCTTTCCCACTGCCTCAATTACAGATTTGGAGCCAAAATACAGAGATAAAACCAGAACCTGGGGAGATTCAACAAAGAGAGGAAAGAGCCCCTCAGCAGCAGGTGGTGAAACCAGAGTGAAGATCAGTCAGAAAAAATCTGTGCCTCAGAGGAGCTGGAATTGGTGTGTTTCAGATGTAAAGAATTTTGTGACAGTGAAGGAGAAAGAAGCAGAATTCCCATTCCAGTAGAGTGGGAATGTATCTCCTCTTTAAAATTCCCCTTGATGTAGCTGAAGAAATAGAGTTTAGCTCACAGTAGAACCCTCTATAGTGGAGGAATCGAGCATGGTTGTGGGCAAGTCAGGGTTTCAGGCACTCAGGGGAGAGAGCTGAGCCTCACAGGGCTGATTCACACCCAGGAAAATCCAGGATACAGCTCCAAAAACACAAAATGCCCTTCTTGCCGGAAGCTGTCGAGCCTCATAAGGCAGAAACGCTGATAGAGTTTGCTGTTCCCCAGCTTTGTCCTTTGAAAGTGGAAACAAAACCTCTTGCTTCGTCCCCTTCCCTCCCCTCAGGCTTTCATAGACCCGTGATCTTTGCTTTTCATGGGAATAAATTAATTCCCTTCATGCGCCAGAAGAGATTCTTTACCATTTTTCATGAAAGCAAGAGCCTGTCATCTTTTGTCACGTATTAGCTGGGAACACACGAGAGGAGGCTGCAGAGAGGGATGCGGGATTTGTACAAACAGATGGCGTTTTTCTTGCCTATGCTTCTAAAATAAAAATCTGAGGGTATACCAGGAGTAAAAGTTGACATTTTGTCTCTAGAGAAAAACCTCTTTCAGGCATGTCATGGGAACAGCACCAAGCAGTTTTGTTGAGGGCTCTGGAAGCTGAGAACATTTTTATTACACTGAGAAATTCAGTGTAATATGCTTTAAATTTCCCTTCCCTTAACATTCTTGAGCACTTTTTGCATTTTAATGGAATTGGTATGTTCTTAATTAAGAAATGCGGTAATGGGCTGCACCTAATGGGGCTCCTTCCAGGGAAAAGGAGTTATTAGTTTATATTTCATCACCAAAGTCCATCTTGGGCCACTGCTTGCCATTCAGGTTCTACCTAAGGGGCAGCTTTTTGTGTAGACGGTGGTTCCTTATTCTTAAGTGAGGGTGTCATTTTTGTGTCCCGAAACATGGGGCTTTTTCCAGAAATGCACCAGATTTATTGTAAAGCGCACACTAACGGTGTTTTCCGTAGAGGGGAAAATAATAGGAGGTTATTTTAAATGGGTTTTTTAAAACCTTTTTTTTTTTTACCTAGGGAGAAGGAAAAACACTTTAAAATTCCTCTCGATTGCCTGCCAGTGAACTCCTCCCCCCAGTGGGGCTGTGGGACCAGTTCCTCGCCTTGTCTGGAGCTGGGAAATGGAAAACCGTGTTGTGCCTTAAATGAGTTGGCGATTTCCCTTTATTTGATGGGACCTTCACCTCCAAATCCCCATTTCTCCTGAAGATCCTCATTCCCTTACCTTTATAGAGGGATATTTTTCAAATAGACACTGTTATTCATCTCTTAGAAAATTTCATGGTACTAAATATCTGAACCAATTTCCTGGAAAGGATCGGCCCCAATCCCCTCCGGCGTCTATCAAGTCGCAAACAGGCTAAAAACCTTCTGTTCATGTCAGAATCCATACAATTGTGTTGGTATTTCCTGAGGAAAAGCAGAGTAAAAGAATAAAGAATAAAATTCATAGTAATTTATTCCATGGAATAATTAGAGCTGTACTCGTGTTCCTGGCTTGGAAAATCCTCTCTCTGTTGTGCCCACATGAGCTCGGCTCGGCCCAGGCCAAGGTGTTGCAGGTGCTTGGTTTCTTGGGAGCGGTAGTCCCAGCACTGGTGGTGACCATTGTCCCGGCTGTGGATTTGTGAAGTTGTGACTATAGATTTTGTTTGCATTTTAGAGCAACGTGGTCCTCCATCAGGAACAAACTCAGCCAGGCAGAGTCCGGCCCCACAGCACCGACCGCTGGGATTGGCACTGATCAACCCAGACAGGTTGGGAAAAGTGGCTGGGAATGGTGGGCAGAGCTTGGCCAGAGGGATGAATGCAAAGGTAACGTCCGCATCCTTTCACCTTTCTGTAGGGGAGCTACAGAAGGGGAAGCTGGAAAAGAAGTTTCTAGTAGCTACCGTCTGTCCTGGCCTGAGCACAAGCACATGGCACAGTTGGATGCTGCTTCAGGTGTTGGCAGCCGTCATTCCCAGGTACAAAAATCCATCCAGAGGGTGGGGAGACACAGGGAATACTCATCCATCAAGGCACTCCAGCGGTGTTGCCACGGAGTTCTCAAAAGCAGAACATTACAACATTTCCCTGTCAGATATGGGTAGAACAGTTGTGTATAAAAGTGTACTGAAGTGTCTCACAGAATATTTTTGCTCATGTTTTAAATGTGATTATCTCCTTAGGGTAGTTGAACGCTCATTATTGTTATGAAAGAAACACAAAAGGCTTGTAAGGGAGCAACTACGGACCCTTTGGCAAAATTTCTTCAGGAATTTTGTGCCTGTCTCAGACTTAGAAGGAAAGATGTTATGAATGTTTAGACTTAGATTAAAACCATTACCCTGAGTCACCCCAGAGCTGGGATGAATGCTGTTTAAATGCTCAAAATACAGAAGTATTGAAATGTTTTTCTAGAAAAACAAAAGGTTAAATCTGCCTACAGGTCCTCATCTCTTTTTTTTTTTTTTTTTTTTTTTTTCATCCCCCTCTCTGACTTCCTGCACAGAATCCCGGCTGTTTCCCAGTGGAGTTGGAAAGGGGCCCTCGAGGGTTTGGATTCAGCCTCCGGGGAGGAAAAGAATACAACATGGGCTTATTCATCCTCCGTCTGGCTGAGGATGGTCCGGCAGTCAAGGATGGGAGAGTCCATGTGAGTTTGGCTTCTCTAATCCATTTTTTGATGCGGTCAATACGTTAGTTTATCCAGAGTGGTGACCTCCTTTGACGGAGCGTCTTCAACACAACCCGGGAAGCCTCTTTAAGATGTTAATGTTACACACCAGTGACATCTGTTGGCTGCTGTGTGCGGTGCCAAATAGGCTTCCACTCCCTTTTGGTCCCCATTTCCCTTCGCAGTTTTCCCCAACAGAGAACTCTTTGGGGTCTGCTATTCCAGCCCCTTTCCAGCAGCTGGGGAAGTTAGCACGAGCTGAAATTACCTGCCTGGTACCAGTGAGAGTTGTTTATTGGCTCTGAGACCTCACCGCTGATCTCTCCAACCTGAAACAGCAATTCCTGTCCCTATAGCAAACCCGTTTGCACGGTGTTCAGCTCAGCAGTGGGCGTAGGGAAGGTGCCGTGTCCTCCCCTCGATAAGGTGACCTCAGACAGGTGCAATGTTGTTGATCCACGTGCTCCCTCCACAATCCGGAATGAAAATACGTTCAAGCGCATCCTGTATCTGCCTCATCACTTGTAAATAAATAGAAGATGCGGTTAAGATATCTGGAATCTTTCCCTGAACAGACTACCTCTGTGCACCTCTGAACCCCCGGACCCTGGGGTCACATCCTGTTTGTCATCCATGGAATGACATCACTAATGCCCACTGGATTTTAGCATGAGAGGGAAAACAGAAGCATTTGCCTCAATTATTTTTCCTTTCTAAATGAAAAGCCAGTTCGCAGAGTCAGAGATTCCCAAAGACTAATCTGCTTCACTTTTTTCCTCAGGTTGGTGACCAAATAGTGGAAATTAATGGAGAACCTACCCAAGGAATCACTCACACACGAGCCATTGAGCTGATTCAGGCTGGAGGAAATAAAGTTTTGCTGCTGCTGAGACCAGGGACTGGATTGATACCAGATCACAGTACGTTGTCCTAAGGGCTGTTTGGTGTTGAGGGGAGTAAAGTGGGATAAGGAGATTCTGCTGCTTGTTCACATTACTACTGCAGTAGTTGGCGGTTGCTTTTGTAACAGCTGTGCATTCATTATTGAATTAAATTAAATATTAAAATACAAAAATTGAAAATTAAAATATCTGTTTTCAAGCATGGGGAATATTTGGGGTAAAATCAACACGTGACAAGTACATGGGAGTATTGCACAATCTGAAATTATTCCGTATTTCTAATTAGTTGCTCAGTTCTGTCCAAGCTAATCGAGTTTTTCTCTAAAAATATGCTTATTAACCCTGATTGCCTTTTAATTTAAATGAAACTTCTCTGTGCTACACTACTGCTAAAATTTTGTTTCTGTACATATTTACCTCTGTTTTTAGCTTTCTAAATTATGAAAAACTTCGTTTCTCAAAGCCAAAACTTCAGGAATCAGAAAAGGGACAACTTTATTCTCCAAAGGGATTTAGGGATTCAAGGAGATTTCTGCATCTACAAAAGGAAACCAGAGTTTTGTAGGCCAAAAAAAAACAAACCAGGAAGTACAGCAGAGCAAAGGTTTGCAGGAGCCACAGAGTTCAGAACTGATGACTTTGGGTCTGACTCAGTCCCAAGGCTGCAAATCAGAGGCTTGTGGCAGTGCTGGCATTTTAAAGCAAAGAACATTTCATTTCCTAAATATGCGTTTTAGTCTTTGTAACCCCTGATGCTGACACTGAGGTGCCGATAGTTAAACTTCCTAAATTGTAGGGTCGCTTCTTCTGATAAGGAGCTTTTGGGTCACCGTGAGCTACCTCGAGTTTATCCTTTCAAAATCCCGAACACGCACAGCTACCAAATACTTTGCGCGTTGTCGCTAATTGGCATTCACTCAAAGGGTAAAATCTGCTCAGTACTGTCTGAATTTCTTTTCTCCCAAGAGCTAGAAAAGGGTCCTGAGCATCACTCCTGGCCCTGCTGGTCTCAGAAATTCCCTGAACTTGGGGGAGAAACAGACTTGGACAAAAGGGAACCTCTGGAGCTAGACGAACCTCTAGCTCTCTGTCTAGAGTGGGGCCTGGGATGAGGTGAAGGAGGTGGTGGAGCGGGGGAAGGGTTTATTGCCTCTTGCCTTGCTGTTAATCCCACGTTTCTGATTGAAATCTTGCTTGCTGTACTCTGTGGGGTTTGGGGTTTTTTTGTATGTACTTCTGGGCTTTTTCTCTTCCTCCTTCAGGTTTGGCTCCTTCCAGTCTGTGTCCCTACGTGAAACCTGAGCAACATTAAGGGCTTTCAGTGCTTTTCTTGGTTTTTCCTTAAAGACTTGGTAAATCTGCATGTCTTGTTTCATCTCTTCCTATTTTTGAAGGGCAAAGCGATGAATAACCCAGACTTTTCACTGTTTCAGATTTCTTTAGGCATAACAGTTCTGGTTTGTTTTGTTTTATTGAACAATGTAGGTCAGGGACTTTTTAATTTGAAATTTTGCTGTGTAGGCTCTAAACTTGTCTTGATCCAAGTCCTTGTCAGTCCTGCAGGGATCGAGCATTCTGAGCACTAGTTTGTTTTTTTTTTTCAAAATCACATCCTCAGGGTCATTGTAGAACAACACAGTACAGAAATCTGGCTAAGTAAAGCTTTGAAAATATGCCACTCTAGTGATTTTTGAATTGAACTCAGTAGTTTGCCGATTTTTGCTTTTTGTGTATTTAATCAAATCTCTCATCATTCGCTTCCAGGTGATTGGGATGGCTACAACCCTGCTTCATCAAATGTAATATATGAAGAACAGTCACCATTATTATCTTCATCTTCCCATGCTGCTTCCCCATCTGAAATGTGTTATTTAGCAGTATCAGGAGAAGCTTTAACCAGAGTTCAGCTGTCTGAGAAACTGGAACAAGCAGAGAACACTGTGCCTGACAAGATAAGCACTTTAACTGAAAACCAGTATGAGAGGAAGCCTCAGTCCTCTCCCCAGAGAACAAAGAGCAGATGGGAATGTCCCTCGAGTCCTGGGTTTGGGATCACTAAAGGTAGTTCAGAAGCAGGGACCAAAAGGGGCAGATCTGCCAGTCCAGCAAAGTCTGGGGCTGCTGAAGGATACTCTGACGTGGGATTCCACAGCCCCAGGAAAGGGGATCCTGAGACAAAAAATCCCTCACATATATCTGAAAGTTCCAGGAGTGAGAGTAAAACCACAGAAATAGGGATGAAGAGCAGTGACAAAAAGGAGTCTTCCAGTGGAAATCAAGAAAGGTCAGCAAGTCCCCAAAGGCATCTCAGCAAGCCAGGAAGCACAGCAAGGATCCATGGTAGAACATCCCGTGGCGAGAAGGCAACTGTTGAGCAGTTGAAAGGTGGGAATGGTAAACCAGAAGTCACCAGGAAAGAGATGAAGCAGAAGACTCCAGGAAAGACAGAAGGGTGTTCTGCAGACCGACCTTACCCAGTGTTTGGTGAGCATAACCTTCCCTTCAGGGACTCCAGAAGAAATGCCTCTGAAGATGACTTATTAACTAAGTCCAGCTCTGGAGACACAGGTTCTAGCAGATTCAAAACTTCCAGCCTTTCTGATATCCCGCTGCTTTCCATGGAGAAACAAAGGAGGGTGGAAACACAGGAAGCTCTTAGGCTGAGCAGGCACCATGGAAAAAGACACGTGGAGCTGCCCGATGAAACCAAAGATGGAACTTCCCAACCTGAGAGGAATTCTCCAGTAAGGAAAACACTGATAACTCCTGGGCCATGGAAGGTCCCCAGTGGCTGTAAGGGCACCCCAGCAGCAGCGGTGCCTGGAAAACAGGTGTGACTGACTGACAGACACTGTGCTTTAGAACGTGTTTTGATCGATTTTCCAGTAAGGGTAATTTAAAGCATCGGTTCTTCTCACACGGTTGTCTTCTTTTTGTTTTTTTCCCTCAGAAAATGGTTAGAGGTGGGGAAGGTATTTGATTTGTTCTTAAATTATCTAAGCTCCTTGAAGGACCTTGCAGATTGCCTCAGTGAAACCCTTCCATGAGCTGCTGTCCCCGTGTCCCCTGCAAAGGCAGGCCATGTCTGCCACTCCCAGTGTTGCACTGCTGCAGCTTCCCCCAAGTGTTGTGAACTCTGAACAAAGTTATTTAATGCCTCTGTTGCCAATGTGATCCCGACTCACTTCCCGTTCTTGTGCCAAGCTAGCTGCTGTATCCAGTCAATCTAACCTTTCCCACGTGGATTCCAGTCACAGACAAGGCAGGTTTGGCCTGAAGCGGGTGCTTTCTCTAGAGCAGGTTGCACGTTTACATCAGGAAACCCACAGAACATGGGTGAGTTGGTTTTTGTCAGTTCCAGGGCAGCAAATGAGCTGCTGCTGCTGCTGCTGAGTTCGTACATTTCCTGGAATTTTTATACCTAATACAAAACCCTGTAGCTAAATATGGTATTTTACTTAATTTGTGATTTTGCTTTTTCTGACACAGCAAAATTGCTTTAATTCCTTGAGTTACAGGGATTTGGGTTGCAAACATCTTTGAGAGGGAAGAAAATTCTGGGTTCTGTTAACACAATTCCTTCGGTTTCACTCACGGCACTGCGATGCCCTTGGCCTTGGGATGGAGCTGATGCTGAAAAGTCCCATCTTTAATTATTTAATGCTAGTTAAGAATTTGAGATTTTTCCTTCTGTAGAGGTAAGAGCTGACCTTAGGACAGACTCAGGTGCCAAAGCAGTGTTTTCAGTGATGTTCTTGCCCATATATTTTAGAACTCTCCCCTATTTACTATAAATGTGTGATCAAGGAGTGTTGATGACAAACAGGATACAGGAGACACACCATATCTACGTTTTGGGCTGGCAGAGATATTTTAAAGAGGGATGTTATCACCAGAACCTATTGACGCATCAGTCCTACAGATGTAAGAACAACAGAAACAGAAGGGGTTTATTTAATTCACAGTTTCAATGACTGCAGAAAAGTGGTAAAAGGAGGCCCTTGGTCTAGTTTGCTGGAGAAAGAAAAGTAAATGATCGAGCTTTACTTACTTCAAATACAAACATGATTTCCTCTTTGCAAGTGAATATCTTGTTTTGGATTTGAAACACTAAATGCTTTTAAAGGCTATCAAAGCACAGTGAGATAGTTCTGAGTGGAATTCTTCACAAGTACAGCTGACTGCTCAAACAGCTTTTAAACAAAGATTTTGGGAATTGAAAAGGCTTTAAAGCAGCTCTGAACCATGGTCACCTGCTTGAAACTGGGTGAGACACTGACGCCGGGTTTGCTGTGTAGCGCAACACGTACGAATTCTGCTTGAGTGGAATATGACTGTGAAATATTTAATACTCTGAAGTAGCCTGTGTAGATATTGCCCCATGTTCTTCCCCAGAGGTTGGTTTACGTTGAGCTGTGTGCACTCGGCCTGACCACTGAGTACAGCGACAAATCCAGTCCTTTAATTCCAGATGAATTAGCCCCACTGAAATTATTTCCCTGCCTTCAACTCCTCTCTATTTTTCTATATGTTCATGTGACCTGATAATGTCTTACCTGTATGTGATTTCTCCTTCCATAGACCTTGTATCCATACTTCCTGTATCAGACTTAGCCACGTGGCCTCGGAATGCTACGTAATGGATGGATGTACCGGGTGTAAATGTTTATATATTGTACAGCACATTTATACAGACTTCTGAGGTTCTGACTAGAGAGAGACCTGTAAATTGCTCATTATTTTTTATATAGATATTAAAAACAAATTGCAGTTCATGGCCTGTTGGTTCTGCACTATCTAAACCACATTCTTGGTTGGCTTCCAGGGGTACAATCCACATTTTTACTCACAAACATGCTGCTCCTCTGGAAATTAAATGCAATTTATTATTGGAAGTCTTCGATCCCCCGTTCAAAAAACAAATGTTCAGCAAAAATGGTATAAAAATCATTAAGTCCTGTCAGTGGTAACAAGTTTTTATTTGTATAGAAAATAGCTGTAAACAATTTAGTACCAGCTGCAGCTCCTGTATGGCTTTAGTGTCTGATGTCCCACACCAGTTCTTACTGGTTTCAGTGCTAGCCACCAGGATTCGGTCCCATTAATCCAGTTTTTCTGGGCATGCCATAGGATGACATCTCTGATGAGGCCAGTGCATTCTGGGTTTTGTAGAATTCTACAAGAAGGAAAACTTCTGATACATACACTGAGAATATATTTTAAAATTTTAATGATTTTCTTTCTACCCACGTGGGTTTAAGGTTAAGGTTAGAGTTAGGGTTAAGATTAGGGTTCAGGGTTAAGGTTAGAGGGTTAGGAAAATTACGAATGGAGCAGGATTCCTCCCAGACCCAAGCCACCCCCAGCTACAACTCGGGCTGCCCTTGGAGTGCCAAACGTCTCTGACAAACTGACATCAGGAACCTGCAGAGGTGAGTTTTCTTTCCCATGGAAAAGGGGTGCCACTCATGTCCAGCGGCCGGGTGGCCACGAGCGGGTTTCTGCATCCAAAAATTACGAACGGAGCAGGATTCCTCCCGGACCCGAGCTGCCTCCATCCAGAACTCAGGCTGCCCTTGGACTGCCAAACGCCTCTGACAAACTGACAGTCGGGGAGGGAGGGCGAGAGGAGGGTTTTTTTATATTTTAAAAGGGCTGCCATGTGAGTCCAGGGGCCCGGTGGCTGGGAACGGGCTTCTGCCTCCTAGAATTATGAACGGCGCAGGGTTCCTTCTGGACTCTAGCCCTCCCCACCTCGAACTCGGGCTGCCCTTGATGTTATAAATGCTTCTGACAAATCAACATCACCAAAATTGTGTCGTGAGTTTTCTAGTGCAGGATTTTCTTCAGACCAAACCTCCAGCATCTATTCATAAGTCTAACCTCAACAACTTCACTGGACCTGGAAATCACGACCTTTGGATCAGCAGCGTGGGACCCAACCCACTGCACCACAACTGGCCCCTTACCAAAGCCTACCTCTGCAGTCCTAAAACTCTACATTTTCAGAGGGCGTCCCCTCTGACTGACCTTAAAATCTGCTGAAGTATCCTAAAATAGCTCTGAAATAGCACTCTACAATACTTTAAAGAATACACAAAGTTAAAAAAAAAGCTTCCAGTATCCCCTGAACATCCTTAAAAGTCCTGAAGAAAACCTCAAAAAACCCTGCCTAGCTTCCAAACCCTTCCTGTTGCCCTCTTGTCCGCATATGTCATCCCTACCTTTTTGCAGGCTTGTTGTCCTCTGAGGGTTCTCTCATTGACTTGCTGCGAGCGTCGCTGTCTTGTCACACCGGGAGGGTTCTGCTGTTGCCTCTCCGTTAGGGTTGTTGTGTTGTGCTGCTGTTGGGGGAAAAGGCTGTTGTTAGGGGTGCTCATTAGGGTGAGGTTACCACCGGGGTGAGGGCCAGTGCACGTCCCCTAACTCGCATCCTAAGCTGTACCCTGTACTCGTTATCTGCATTGTACTGTCAAGCGCTCGAGTCCTCTACCTTTACCCCTCAAGCCCTCCTTCTGCCCCTCAGCACTCAGTCTCTGTGTGTCACCCTCAAGCATCCCCTTTGCCCCTCAAGGCCCCCTCTAAGCTGCCCATCAGCTCCTGTGTGTCACATTTAATTCTTCTACTATGGCCCTCAGGCACCAGCTTCTCTGTGTCAGCCTCCAGAAGCCCCTGCAGGTGTTCATCATTTTCAGAGGCAGAAGCCCACTCCAGGCCACGGGCCCCTGGACACGAACGACAGCCCTTTTCCACGGGAAAAAACACCTCACCCCTCAGGTTCCTTGTGTCAGTTTGTCAGAGGCCTTTGGCACTCCCAAGGGCATCCAGAGTTTTAGGTGGGGGGAAGCCTTGCACCCCAGTGTTTCCGGAGTAGACTAAGGGCTGGACAGGGGATGGAACCACCAGCAGGGTCTTTCTTCCCCTCTCTGCAAGGTGCAGCACCCCCAGGCATGACCAGCTCTTTTCCAGTGCCTACCCTCAGAGTGAGCTGCTGTTCCAGAGGGTCCAATGGGGTCTTCTCGAGTGTTTCTCCAGGAACCACATTTGGAGCATCCAACAG